GGGAAAACCGTACAACCAACTGTTTCTCTGCACGAGACAACCTTAATCTATGGCATCAACGTCTAGGTCACATGAATACAAGAAATCTGACTACTTTGGTTGACAAAGAAATTATCCGAGGAGTTCCTAAGCTTAAAGATGAAGATAAGATGATGTGTGGTCCATGTAATCAAGGGAAACAAGTCAAAGTGCAGCACAAGAAAGTTCCAGATGTTCAGACTAAGTCAGCACTTGATTTGGTTCATATGGATTTAATGGGGCCAATGCCAATTGAAAGCATAGCTGGGAAGAAGTATGTGTTTGTATTGGTAGACGATTTTTCTAGATATACATGGGTGAGATTCATTCGAGAGAAGTCAGACGCAGCAGATAGTTTCAGAATATGGGCTCTTCAGCTTATCAATGAGAGAGGAGGTATTAAAAGAATAAGAAGTGATCATGGTGGAGAATTTCAAAATGAATCCATGAAAGATTTTTGTGAAAAGCATGGAATTGCACATCAGTTTTCAGCTCCAAGAACACCTCAACAAAATGGGGTTGTAGAAAGGAAGAATAGAACTCTTCAAGAGATGGCTAGAGCAATGATGCATGGAAATCAGGTTCCACAGAGGTTTTGGGCAGAAGCAATAAACACATCATGCTATATCGTCAATAGGGTCTATGTGAGAAGAGATTCGATGAAGACTCCATATGAGTTATGGAAAGGAAAGACTCCGAATCTGAGCTACTTTCACGTGTTTGGATGCAGATGCTATATACTGAATGACAAAGACTACCTTGGAAAATTTGATTCCAGAAGTGATGAAGGCATGTTTCTGGGTTACTCAGAGACTAGTACAGCATTCAGAATCTACAACAAAAGAACGTGTGCTATTATGGAATCAGTTAATGTTGTATTTGATGATCATTATGTGTCAAAGGTTAGTGAAGAACTTGAAGAAAGTGACACAGAACTGGATGAGATAACCAATAAAGAGGTTAAAGAAAAAATGGATGGTTCATCGATAGAACAAGAAGATAGTCACAAAGAAGCTCAGAAAATTCAGGTACACAAAAATCATTCATCATCAGACATCATTGGAGATCTCCAAGATCCGATGAAAACCAGAGGTGTAAAGCTTGATTTCAAGAAGATGACAAGTAATTTTGCAGAATGGGAAACTTTGCAGTTTCAATGCTTTGTTTCATCCGTTGAACCAAAAAATCATGTTGAAGCACTTGAAGATAATTTCTGGATCATTGCTATGCAGGAAGAGCTAGAACAGTTCGAAAGAAATGAAGTTTGGGAATTGATTAAACGACCTGCGGATACAAATATTATAGGAACCAAATGGATTTTTAAGAACAAGAGTGATGAAAAAGGAGTAGTTATCAGAAATAAAGCAAGATTGGTAGCACAAGGGTATAATCAAATCGAAGGTGTTGACTTTGAAGAAACGTTTGCACCTGTAGCAAGACTTGAATCAATCAGACTTTTCTTGGGAATGGCTTGTATTCTTAACTTCACGGTTCATCAAATGGATGTTAAAAGTGCTTTTCTAAATGGTATACTACAAGAAGAAGTATATGTTGAGCAACCTAAAGGATTTGAAGATATGATGAAACCTGAGTATGTTTTCAAGCTAAAGAAGGCTCTATATGGACTCAAACAAGCACCTAGAGCATGGTATGAAAGGCTGACTAACTTTCTGCTTGAGAAAGGCTACAACAGAGGAAGTGTTGATAAAACTTTGTTTATTCTTGAAGAAAACAAAGAGATCATGATGGTGCAGATTTATGTTGATGATATTATTTTCGGGAGTACTTCTCAGAAGTTGGTGGATCAGTTTATAGAGAACATGACAAAAGAGTTTGAAATGAGTTTGGTAGGTGAATTGAAGTATTTCTTGGGATTGCAGATAGTTCAATCGGATGAAGGAATCTACATCACACAGAGTACTTATGCTAAGAAGATCTTGAAGAAGTTTCAAATGGATAAATGCAAAGAAGCTAAAACTCCTATGAGTACCTCATTGAAATTATCAAGAGATGAAAATGGAACAGATGTAGACGTCAAAACTTACAGAGGAATGATTGGAAGTCTCTTATATCTAACTGCTAGTAGGCCTGATTTATGTCTGAGTGTTGGAGTTTGTGCTAGATATCAAGCAAAGCCTAAACAGTCTCATCTTGAAGCTGTGAAGAGAATTCTGAAGTATGTCAAAGGAACTGTAGATCTTGGTATTTGGTATTCAAGAAACTCAAATCAAAATCTGGTTGGTTACTGTGATGCTGATTATGCTGGAAATGTGAATGACAGAAAGAGTACAAGTGGAGGATGTTTCTTTCTTGGAAACAATCTAATTGCGTGGTTGAGTAAGAAGCAAAACTCTGTGTCAATATCCACCGCAGAATCTGAGTATATTGCCATGGGAAGTTGTTGCACTCAGTTACTTTGGATGAAGCAAATGTTAGCAGATTATGGAATCGACGCTGGAGTTCTTCAAGTCTACTGTGATAATCAGAGTGCTATAGATATCTCTAAAAATCCGGTTCAACATTCAAGAACTAAACATATTGATGTGAGACATCACTTTATTCGAGAATTGGTTGAAGAAAAGAAGGTTCAGATTGATCATGTTGGGACAGAGATTCAGCTGGCAGATATTTTTACAAAGGCATTGGACTTCAACAGGTTTGTCACATTAAGAAATTCACTTGGAGTATGTGAACTATGATCTGACTCAGTCAGAGAACAAGAGAGCTGATATGGTTATGAAGATACGGTTCAATTCAATATTTCTAGTTCGGTTTATCACATTAGAAGCTCCAAGAATGGTTTATTCCGTTTTGTTTTTGGCAAAAATCGAGTTTTTTTTTTGAATTTTAAAAAAGGGATATGCAATCATAACAAGATTTACTCAAATCTTGGTGAAAAGATTCTCGGGGAGAAAGACAAAGAGGCTAATTGAAAAAAAAAAAGTTTTTAAAACCCTAAGAAACAAGAGAAGCGAGAAATTCACTGCAGAAAAGTTCTCAAATCGTAAGAATGGTGAAAGCTACACGAAGAGGACCAATCGGAGGAAGAAGACAGGCTAGAGAAAGTCGGTCTGATGGTGGTGCAGAAAACCCACAATTTGTTGATGAACCCATCGAAGAACCAGTCAGATCTACAGTTGCTTCTTTATCTCTGGTTCCATATGACAACGATGAAGATTCATTCGCCACTGCAAGCGAAGGAACTAAGAGTGGTGGATCTGGTGAAGATAAGCAAGATGTAGTGGAATCAAAGAAACCTGACAGAGATTCTAAGGTTCCTTCTGAACAATTTGAAGAAGCAGGTTTGATTTCATCTCAGAATGATGAAATTCGTGATCAATCAGAGCAGAATCAGAAGCAAGATTCTACTTTCTCAGAACAAGCTGAACAGAATGTTATCGGGTCACATGCAGAACAGATAGAAGAAGAAATAGATGACAGACATGTTGAAGTACCAGAGGAAAGGGTTGGAGATGAACCAATCCACGTCTCAGATGTTGAACTTGAGCCCACTGAGCTGACTGTTGAAGATCAATTCCAGAAGAATCAGAAGGAGAAAGAAGCTCGTAAGAAGAGAGTCTTCAAACAGCTAGGTCTAGCTCCTCCAAAGAAGAAACAGAAGAATGCTGAACCAAGTTCAAAGAAGAACAAATCTCTCAACGCTTCTGGTTCAGGTAAAAGCAAACCCAAGAAAAGCTTTCGATCTAAGCTATTCTCATCTCCTCAAGCTCGAGAAAGGTATGCTTTATTTAAGGATAGGAGTTTAGTTGAGGAACGCTTGATTGATTTAGAAAAAGAAGATACTTGGGGATTTTTAGCTTTGATCAAATCTGCAAAGTTGGAACCCACTGTAACGAATCTAGGCAGTTATGTGAAGGAGGTAATTGCTGAGTTTTATGCTAATCTCCCTTCTGAGAAGTCTGAAGAAAATTCTGAGAAAGTCAGTGTATTCATCAGAGAACATGTTTATGAGTTTTCCTCTCAGAAAATCAACAAGTCTCTTGGGTTCAAAGAGTTGAACAAAGATGAGTTAAAGGCAGATAGTGAGGCTGATTCTATTGGAAAAGAAAAGCTTGCAGAAATCTTAAGTGAAGAAGAGAAAACAGGCTGGGATGACTTGATTTTTAAGAATCTTTCACCACGAGTTGGAGCACTTCTTCGTATCACAGCTCAGAATTGGATCCCTTCGTCTAATCCAGACTATGTCTCAGTTGAAAGAGCTCAGCTTATCTACAAAATCTTTCATGGGATCAGATTTGATGTTGGGAAGATGATTTTCAATCAAGTGATGTCACTTGTTCAGAATAAGGATGAAAGATGGTTGGTGTTTCCCCGAATCATATATGGGATGCTCATAAGTCAAAAAGAAGTGACAATCTTTCCTGGAGAAAAGTTTGTGACTCCTAAGTTCTACAAAAAGGATGTCAGAACTGGTCAAGCTTACACTGAAAGGATGAAGGGCAAAGCAAAAGCTAGCACTCAGCCAAATACTTCAAGAGCTGCTCCTCAAAATGTATATCCTTCTTCTCAGTTTAATCCAGAGTATCAAGGATATACTGTTGTGGACATTGGAAGCATCCGTCTGCCACACCCTGATGAGGATGATAGAGAGGGAATGTTTATGGCCTTGTTAGACACAGCTCAGGCTATTTCCAAGATGAATGGAGTGATTCAACAACTTGTTCTCAGTCATCCTTTGTCCAAAAGACTATAGGAAGTTTGGTTTTTAACCTTGAGCTCTCAAGCAGGGGGAGAAAGGAGTATGGCTGTGAGTCTGGGGGAGTTCATGTGTTGTGGGGGAGTAGTTATTTGATTTTTTTTTGAACTCCAGACTTTGTTGTTGCTTGTTTTTCAGACTTTGTCAGATTTAGGGGGAGTTAGTCTTTGTTGGACGAAATTGCTAAAATTTTTAATAACTTCGATTGTTTAAAGTCTGTGATTGCTTGTGATGAAAAATGTCTACAAAAGATAGAAGATTTCAAATGCAGGTGCTTGAGAGACACAAGATTAAAAAGGGGGAGATTGAAGATGCAGCTTCTGAAGGAGTACCTGAACTAAGTCAAGAAGTAACTCAAGAGAACAGAGCAACATGAACAAGATTAAGGAAATATGCAGAATCTTGTTATGGCGGTTTGAAGTAAAGACTAGAAGCTTAGAGAAGATTCTAGAAGACTGAAGAGTTTCCTTTTGCAAGAAGAAAAGGAAAACATGAAGACAGAGGACAATTTCCTATTCCATAAAGAAAAAGGAAATTGTCCATTCCAATTAGTTTTAGAATTGGAAATCGACCTGTTGTATGGTCTCAACCTATTTAGTATAAATAGGGTGCTAAGGCTTGTAGAAAGCTGAGCACAATCACTAGAGAGAATTCCTAGCTATTAAGTCTTAGTTTGAGAGAAATAGAGAACTAGAGGCTTAAAGAGAGCTAAGGGTTTTAAAGAGAGTTATTGTTCTTAATCGGTCTGTGATTAATGAACAAGACTTAGTGAGAATAGAAAATAGTGTTAAAGGAGAAACCTTGTAAACATATTTTCTATTAATCGAAAGAGTTTTTGAGAAATTCTGAGTTACATCGTGAACTAATTCAAAACTTAGTAGCTCTTGCATTTACAGTATGGAGGTCAGTTTAAGCCTCCAAGGCGGTTAAGGACCGACGAGATTCCCGCCATTATCAACGACTTTAGAATTGTTGCAAGAAATGCGATAGAAGCTGGTAAACAAAATTTCTTTTTCCTTTTGGGTGTTAGATGTAATGTAATGAAAATGAAAGCTGATCAAGACACTTGACATATAAAAGTACAGGCTTCGATGGCGTGGAGGTTCACGGCGCACATGGTTACCTGATCGATCAGTTCCTGAAAGACAAAGTGAATGACAGAAGTGATGAATACGGTGGGTCACTCGAGAACCGCTGTAGATTTGCTCTGGAAGTAATCGAAGCAGTGGTGAACGAGATCGGTCCAGATCGTGTTGGAATCAGACTCTCGCCATTCGCAGATTACATGGAGTCAGGAGACTCGAATCCAGAAGCATTAGGGCTCTACCTGGTGCAAGCTATGAACAAGCATGGAATCCTTTACTGTCACTTAGTTGAACCTAGAATGAAAACCCCTGAAGGAATCTTTGAGTGCAAGGAATCGCTTACTCCGATGAGAATTGCCTTCAAAGGAACGTTCATAGTGGCTTTACAGACTACCCTTTCCTCGAGACCGATCTTGTGGCTTATGGAAGGACGTTCTTGGCGAATCCGGATCTGCTCAGGAGATTCGAACTCAATGAGCCGTTGAATAAGTACGACAGATCAACGTTCTACACTTCAGATCCTGTCGTGGGCTATACAGACTACCCTTTCCTCGAGACCACAGATACACATGCTTAAGGGCTTTATTGCAGTGTCCAACTCTCGAAGTTTCATCATTTCCACTACAAGCTGAATAAACAAAATAAAAGTTCCAAAATTGCTTACACAAGTCACAAATGCTTCAACAAAACTTACACCGATTGCACGAATTTACGAATTTCATGATTCAGAAACCGAAATCATTTACGGTTATACGAATTAAAATTCAGAAATTCTTGCGCATGTAGTTGAGATAAATTACAAAGTATGGGGCTAAAATCAAATATACAGATACTTTGGGTACTAAAATTATAAATTTATGCAACTAGATGTAACGCCCGGTTAGTAGTATTTGTGTTAAACGGCGACGGCGACAAGGTTATTGCCGGGAAACAAACCGAGAAGATAAACCGTCAACGAATGATGGAGAAGGAATCTGATTTGACTGCAAAGGAGAAACCAAATAACAAGCACGCGGCTGATTCGTTTTCCAGCGAGGAATTGGTCTCACCGGTGAAGAAGGCAAAGAAGTCAGAGGAGACTGGATGTTCCGATGGAGGAGAAGCCGTAGCCGCCGTTGGTAATAGAGAGGAGAAGAAGGAGTTTCTCGTTGAAGCTGGTGTTGCTGAAGACAAAGGAGCTAGACATACGATGGAAGATGTATGGGTGGTTTTGCCTGACGCTTCTTTGGATTTCCCAGGGACACTAAGGTAACAAAATACAAGCTTTTCGTTGAATCAAGTTTAGTAATTCATGCCAATTCTGTTGTTGCTGGGACTTAGAGAATTAGGAAGATACTAGTCTTATTGTGCTGCAAAGTTGAAGGCTTCATTGGCAAAATGATCTTCTTTTGGGTTTGTTTATAAAGCTAGGCTCTTGTGTATTGATATGTAGGTGTGCGCATTTTGCAATTTATGATGGGCATGGAGGTCGTTTAGCTGCAGAGTTTGCTAAGAAGCATCTTCACCTTAACGTTCTTTCAGCTGGGTTACCACGTGAGTTGGTCTGTCTTTCTTGGTTCATTTTAATTATGTCTTTAGAGCTGTTTTAATGTCATTCAGTCGGTCTCACTTCACCTTCTTTTCTGTCAAATTGTTTGATTACTGCCTCAGCTGGATGTCAAAGTTGCTAAAAAGGCCATTCTTGAAGGTATATAAGTTTACTTCATATGTCTTTTAAAGCTTTTTAGTCATTTCATTATAACTATTTGAGATACACAGATTCTCAAATGTTAAAGCAATTTTACTTTCAGGTTTCCGGAAAACCGATGAGTTGCTCCTGCAAGAAAGTATTTCAGGTAATTTGTATGTGTGTGTGTGTGTGTCATGGCTATATTCTGCATATTTTTGCATCTCTCTGACCTGTGTCTTGTACAGGAGGATGGCAAGATGGCGCCACAGCAGTGTGTGTCTGGCTCCTTGATCAAAAGGTATGACTGTGATGGGGTCGTTCCTCGTTTGGAATTCAATATTTTGACTCTATTTCTAGATAAAGTTCGTAAAATTACTCGACCTTTTCTCCAGTATTCACACCCGGTAAACTCTCATGCATTATAGGTTTTTGTTGCCAATATCGGTGATGCTAAGGCTGTTTTGGCACGATCCTCTGCTACCAACGAGTTGGGGAATCATACAGAAGCATGTAATCCACTCAAAGCAATTGTTTTGACGAGAGAGCACAAAGCAATTTATCCACAGGAGCGCTCTCGAATTCAGAAGGTTAGTTTATGATGAGCCAGACAGAGACTTCCTAGTAAATTTGAATACACCATGCTCTGTTGATAACTTTGTATGAGTTTACAGTCAGGTGGTGTTATAAGCTCAAATGGACGGTTACAAGGGCGTCTTGAGGTTTCTAGGGCTTTTGGTGATCGTCAATTTAAGAAGGTAATGATCCTGTGGCTTCCCACTTTATCTTGAGCCCATAATCTTTGCGACATTTTAGCTCTCTCGTGCAAAATTCTATCGACATGTTCATGAACCTATCTCCATATCATTTTGCAACTCCAGTAGCCTTGAATCTGTTAGTCATCCTGAAAGCTTATGGGTTATTCGCATAATTGCATCTAACACACAAGTTATTGAATCTAGTTTGGTGTCAGTGCAACTCCAGACATTCATGCTTTTGAATTAACTGAGAGAGAAAACTTCATGATTCTTGGTTGCGATGGATTGTGGGAAGTAAGTAAGCTCTTCGTTTGTGGTTGTGCAGTGCTCTATAAGAACATTTCATTTTGTCTTTTATATTTCAAATTTTGCTGCTCATATAATATAATCTACACAATGCATCCGTTTTCAGGTGTTTGGACCAAGTGATGCTGTTGGGTTTGTCCAGAAACTTTTGAAGGTAAATACCTACAGTTGTCAAAATCACTTTGTCCTCCATTTCACTCGCTTTAACTAATAGATGTTTAGCCATGTGAGCAAAATGGTTTGTTAGAACCTTGTGCACACAAATAAAGAGTGTCAAGGGAAAATAAAATGAGAGATTACTAAGAGGCTAATGGCTATGATTTTGTAGGAGGGCTTGCCTGTAAGCACGGTAAGTCGCCGTCTTGTAAAGGAAGCTGTGAAAGAACGTCGTTGCAAAGACAACTGCACGGCAATCGTGATAGTCTTCAAGCGGGTATGACTAAAGAAGAGCCTGACTGACCTATGGGCATCTGTTTTTCTGGCTCGTATGAGTTTTTAAACATAAACCTTTTGTTGGTAAACTCTTTTCAAGCTGTCAATGGATCAATTGAATTCTTGGGGGCCACCATAAAAAGAAAAATGAGTTTGAAGAGTAAACAGAGCTCTCTTTGTAGTGCAATTTCAGAAGCAAAAGTAGAAAGCTTTATAATCATAGACTTCATAGTACAGTATGATCAGTTTACAATAAATAAAGCCTATGGGACAACGGAATATTATCATTGTGAATTTAGGATCCCTCTGGTTTGTAATTAAGCTAAAAATGAAAAAGAATAAATCGCCAGCTTACGCAAGCAGCAGTAAATTGACAACTTAAGAATGTTTCGGTCTCACCAGAACATGAAAATGGAGAAGGTAAGAGAAGAGGCAAGAGTCCAAAACGAACAGTCTTATTGGAACTCAAGATCGAGTTTCCTCTTCAGATGAGATCTATCAGCACTACAAAAAGAAAAAGAAGAACAAGCTATAAATACACAATCAATCTTGAGACTGTAATAACAACTGAGATTAATACTTCTGTTTCTACCTGGTGATTGTTGGCCGGTTTGGAGGTCGCTCAGCGAGGATGGTAAAATCTAATGACATGGGTGCTTGTTGATCCTTGTCAACATGAGCCTTCAAACTATCAACCCTCCCACGCTCAGGCATCACTCTTCTAAGCTTACGTGGTGGTGATAGCACTGTAATGGCCTCATGTTTACCGTAAGAGGATTTACCATCCTGCTTATGAACGGGCTTTGGGAGCTTAGCCGGGTCAGTAGGAGCAGGTGCAGAAGTGAAGTATCTGAACAACGAAAACAAAGGTGTGAGAGCAGAACGCTAGATATACTTTGCCTATAAATAGATGGTGAACTTTACGCACCTGTGTTCTAGAGCCTGCTTTATGGAAATTCTGGCCTTTGGGTCATAGGTAAACATTTTGGACAACAAGTCGAGAGCATCTTCACTAACTGCTGGGAATAAAGAACGTAGAGACGGTGCAGGGACAAATTGATACTCTACATAATCTGGAAGCTTTGTTACATCCGGCCACTGATCTGCTTTTGGTGTCCCAAAAGCAGCAAATATTTTGCTTAATTGATCAATATCACTGTTTCCCTGAAACGACGAAAATAGAATAAGTAAACATAGGCGAGAAAATTGATAATAAAAATGTAATTAAGTAGTCTAAGAGTGAGAGTATAACATCCAAAGAGATGATTGGACTAAGTTTTAATGTTAGCCATGATGAGTTGAGTTAACCTGAAGAAATGGTCTGCGTAGTAGAAGTTCGGCGAATATGCAGCCAACGGCCCAAACATCAACTGCAGCACCATATTGTTTTGCACCAAACAAAAGTTCTGGTGCTCTGTACCATCTAGCAAACACCTGTGCATTATCAGATGTATCAAGATATGAAGACATATAACAACTAGAAAAAACAGAAAATAAGGTGCATTGTGCATTTCGAAACAGAGCTCATATGGATTCTATTGTAATTGTGGTTGTTCAAAGGGAAACAAAGAAAGCAGAAATAGCTAAAGGTCAAGGATCCGGTTAATGGCAAAATTTGTAGTACAGAGATGAGATAGCAATTGCTTGAGTTTAGACTGTTGACTACATGACACATTTTGTACTATCGACAGGTGATAGCATGAATCCAGTAAAAGCGTCAAGAAATTTCAGGGATTAGCATACAACAAGAAAAGTCAAAAGAATTTCGAAACAGGTAAAAACTAGCTTGATCATTTCATAAAGATTAATTTCTACTGATCAACTTGGTGATAGTAGAGCAAAGGATAAATGGCAAAAGCATACCTGGTGGGTAAATTTACGATTTGGACTACCAAATATACGTGCTAAGCCAAAATCTGCAAGCTTCAGTTGTCCATCAACTCCTATTAACAAGTTATTTGGCTTCATATCCCTGAACTCAAGGGACACATAATGAGTGGCAAAGCAAGCAACATTACAGAGACAAGAGCAAGTTGTTAAGGATAAACAAGTGTACCTGTGCAAAACCCATTTATCGTGGCAATAAGCAAGTCCTTTAAATGTCATTAGGAGGTAAGATTTGATGTCGGCGGGTGAGAGGAATATGTTGGAATCGCGGATGACAGCTTCGAGGTCAGTCTCCATGAACTCAAAGACAAGATGCAAGTTTTCCTTGTGAGGAAATGCATCAATGAGCAGAATTATATGAGGATGCTTGAGCTCTTTGAGCATTTTGATTTCCCTGAGAGCTGTAATATTTACACCTTCCCTTTGTTTACCAAGCCTTATCTTCTTGATTGCTACAGTTTGTTCCGTCTGCAAAATTACATACCCCAAAAGAAAACAAATTACTTCCCTTGAGGACTCTCAAACAGAAAACCCAACAAATTTCCCCAAAGATGCATGAAAATCCGGAGGAGAAATTAGGAATTAGCGACAGATCCTAAACCCTAAATTTCGAAGAAAAAATCAGCAAAGAAAGGACCTTAGTATCAGTGGCCTTGAAGACGACTCCATAGGTACCTTGCCCAAGAACCTCTTGCTTGAGATACCTATCAGCAACTTTCTTTGGCTGCTCCATCTCCGGCATTTTCGGGTTTTCACAACCCAATAATCGTGCCTCTCTTTCTTCTTACTTCACTTTGGTTCCCTCACTAGAATTCGATTGCTTTCCGAAATTGGGTAAAATCGACGATGAGGAAGATACCGGGAGATTTTTTTAGGGTTTCAGCGTTGGGAGCTCCGGCTCCGGAGAAAATGTAGCCGTTGGCGCGTTTGCAGACGCAATCGGCTAATCGAGGGAAACAACAAATAAAGAAAAATTGAAAAAGAAAAAGGAAACAAAACTCTCTCTCTCTTTAAGCTGGATAAAAGTCTCAGCCCATAAACACCCCAATTATTTATTTTTGACTCATTTAATATCCAAACTTTTTTGATTAAATATCAAAAAGTTAAATATTGTTCTTTAAAAAAAAGTAGGAAAAGAATGTGAAAAGGGTTCTTGTTTCAAGAAGAAACTCATTTTACATAGGTATAATTAAATAACTAAAAATATCAGTGTTTTATACTGTAATTAAGATACCCAACGGAAATGTTTTAACTATAAAGAGATATGTGCTATTTGAAATGACACCGTTTTTACCATACATTGTCAACTAAACCCGGTTAGAACCAAATAAAAAACTGTTATAATACAAAACCATCCTGTTTTAACATCAGAACAAGGAGAGTTTTTGAGAAGAATAACAGAGTTTCTGTTATTCATATTAACAGCTACTCTAGGAGGAATGTTTTTATGTGCTGCTAACGATTTAATAACTATCTTTGTAGCTCCAGAATGTTTCAGAAAGAGTCATGAGTAAGCAATGTGGCGACACCAGCAACGGCTATTTCCTCATCGATGTTAAACCAAATGAAGAAAGGGTCTTTATTACTCGGCGTCTTTATGCGAAACTGTTTGAATACGAAAGCTAGTATCCGATTCTTCCATGAAAACCTTCCTTCGAATGTCAATGCTCCTAATTAATGGATCAAGATACACCCCAATCTCTAACAAAAATCGTCTTGCAAGAGAAGAGCTGAAAGACGATTCCACTGCTAATTTTAGAACCCAACTCTATAATTCAAAAGAGCCACTAGAAAGCTAGTAGATAATTACCATCAAAATTAAATACCATCCGATTGTGGCAATCTTTTATTTTCTTATACGGTCCAAGAAAAAGAGCATCCTCAAGTATCACATAAATAAAAATATATTCGATTGCAGTAAGATTAGTATCACATAATAATATTAAATATATGTTTTAAGAACTTTTAAGGCAGGGGAACAAAGAAAAGAAAAACCAGTCTTTTCCAATTAACTTGAGACGGTTTGCTGGAATTTTCTCCTTCAAACTTGCCACGCTTTAAGATAACGTCTCCAATGTAATTAAAGTCTGGGATAAAAACAGTCATTGTAGACAAACCCTGAAAATGTTTGACTGCTAGCTAGATGTTGAGCAAGAAACTGGTCTTCTGGAGAAAGGGCTGATTCGTCAAAACATCTTTGTCTCTTTGGTTCTGCTCCCTTGGACTCTTCAAAACACCTTTTTCTCTTCGGCTCTGATCCCTCTGACTCATCGGGAGGTTCAAGCAGTAGCATCCACACAAATTCATGTGAATCAATCACAGCTAACTCGGCTCCCTCATGCAGCTTCTTCTTTTCCTCGAAAAAACGTTGGAAGGATTCTTCATAAGCGGCCACCTCCGACTCTGACGCCACCAACTCCGCAGTCCTCAGATTGTCGTGGCGATAGGCATCAACAAGGTTATTGAAATACAAATACCTCCAATCACCTGGGATCATAAACTGATACTGAGGCTCGTCCATATTCCCTTCCTTGACCAAATTCAAGACTTGGCCGTGCCGCGCCACAGACTTGGCTGTAGCCTTGATAGTTTCAAGCTCTTTGCCAGTGATCCATTTAGGGAGTATAGCTGCATACTTGCGAGGTGGTGGAGGCGGACGCTTCATCTTGTCACTAAAGCTTTCAGGAAGATAGGCCTGCAACTCGGGAGGTTTTCGAAACGGTTCCCTCACCTTCACCCTCAATGGAGTATCAGCTATCCCATAATCACTATATTTGATCTCAGGTCCCTCATGTTTCTGCGCGCGGTATTCAGCAAGCTTTTTCTGGTAATAAGCGTGATAACGATCTGAGCTCCGGAAGAAGGAGTAATCTGGGTTTCTCGCATAGCTTGTCATCATACTACTCTCCATCTCAACCCCGTATTTGAATACCAAACGGGCCGAGCTATCGGCCAAATATCTAACCCATGGAGGTACATCCGCCGGAGATAAATTCGGATTGTTGTTTTGCCCCGATTGCAAATCCTTCGACATGTCTTTTCTATACAAAGACAAATAGATAAGGAACCTTAATATCAGATTCTCCTATTTCTATGGGCGAGGGAGGAAATTCTGAGAAAAATATATCGATATGATCAATAAGAGGAATCGGCGATGCCAAGGACTACTTAGTTAGGGTTTTCGGAGACAGATAACAAGTACCGTACCTCAACCGCCGGGAAGTAACAGCCACGCCGCGAGAGCCTCAGTGACTTCGTGAAGAAACCTTGAACGAACGACTTCTAGTTCTCAAGCTTGGAACGGAGAAGATCCTCTGAAAATAAATAAACGGAGCCCTAGGCGTAGCCTAGCACTTATAAACGAGAAACTTGTGCTCAAGGTTTTCTAATGGGCCTTTGTTATTCTGGCTTATAACTTCGGGCCATATTAGAGCATCTCCAATGGTTACAAGTCTTTGAGGGGTTCTCAGCATTTTTAAGTATAAATTTAGCTTTTTTCAAACTAAAAAACTTGCATAAGAACTCTTAAGTTTTGTGTCCTCCAATGGTTACAACCACTAATGGGGTTCTTAAGAAAAAATTCAAATTTGTAAAATAATACATATTTATGTATTTTTGTTTGGTTACAATACATGGTTTTTCAATGAAGAATCATGTATAAGGTTCAAAGTGTGGCATGTTGCTCACAAAACCACCGGCTTAGGACAGCAAAGTAAAGTTCAGGCTTCAGCTAATTCATATTATTATGAACCTAGGATACATATAGCTATTAACATAGCTACACCAAACGGGCTTCCACCAAAAAAGGATGAGAAAATATCAAATGGATCATGTCTACCTCCTCCACCACAATTTCCTTCCTTGAGTGCATCCTCTCCATACTGGTCATAAATCTCCCACTTCTCCAGGTCACTAAGAACTTCATAAGCTTGAGCTAACTTTTTGAACTGCAATGACATACATGAATTATACAGAAATCAAAATCACAGTTCACACATAACACCATAAACCAAACTCATACACTACATAACTTAACAAAGGATCCAACTTTAAACGCCTCAATTATCAGAGAAAGAAACATCAATCCATTAGAATCAATACAAATCTTAAACATAACATCTAAATCGTGTTTATAAAAAAGTGTTGTTACCTGCAAGTAGTAGGCGTGCTCCCAAAAAGAGGTATCAAGCTTCCTCCTTTTGTCACTAATGGATCTTGCACCCAAACAAACTAACTCTTCTTCTTCAAAATCCCTTAATCTCACATATGTTTATGAATATCAAGAAAACTATGATGGTTAATGGTTAAAGAACTTCTGAAGTAAAGTAAAGAGGAAACAAAAGCTGGATCTTATGAAAACTCTCACCTTTACAACATTTATGGGATCCGAATCAACAACACTGACCCTCATGCAACAACAATAAACCGAAACAGATCAATCATATAACTTCTTCGTTTTCTAGAGCACCAAATTATCTAAACAACTAAATCAATCAAAGCTAATCATCTTCCTATCTCACAACGCTTTGTTAAAATGGCTTCTCTAGCTATATCTATTCTTCCTCAAGTAGCAAACAAGAAACTTCACACTATAAGCCCCTCAAACCATACGGTAAATTGAAAGCTTATTCCTCAATTGAATCTAAGCAAGTCAAGGTTTTTATAATCACATGGAGCTTTGAAGCAAGCAATCAAATAGAGTACCTGCACATCAAATCCTGACAATCCTTTGATGAACTATCGATTTCTCAGCATTGATAATGGATTCCACGCGATTAACCGCATCATCAAGCCCCCTTTCGCATTCACCACAACGTAATCAAAGTTCTTTAGATGCCTAATCTCTTCACGAACTTGACAAAGCTTGTTGATCACTGCGTCTTTGCCAACTCCGCTCGGACCACTGATAACGATGACGATCTGATTCGGCGGTGGGATAATTGGATCGGCGGTGAAAGAAGAACCCAATTGTTTCGAGAGAACGAAGCGAGGGTTTGGTGGGAGGTTGGATTGGGGACAAAAACATATATAATTGGGTCTCCGATTTGGTGAAACGAACTCGCAATGGTGATACGTACAAAAGAGAGAGACGACAGAGAGCCGGTTCCCAAAACTTTCTCCACAGAGCCAGTTCTCCTAATAATTTTGGGTTTTGATTTATTTTTATTAACATTTAACGAGAGAACCTCTCCCTAAACCAACTAAAACCCCCTGTTGGAGATGCTCTTACACACTTAATTTGAGGTTCTTCAGTTTTGGTTCGAGATTTTTGGGTTTTAATTTTTTTGTTGTTGTAAAACGACAACGTTGTACCATACATTGTCTACTCAACCCGGTTCGAACCAAATCAAAAACTGTTATATTACAAAACCATCCTGTTTTACATCAGAACATTACAAATGAACTCAATGACATTAAATATCATTTACAAGGAGAGCTTTTGAGAAGAAGAAGAGAGTCATGAGGAAGCAATGCGGCGACAACGACACCAGAAAGCTGTACCGCCACTTCTTCCTCGAGCAACGGCTATTTCTTCATCGATGTAAAACCAAATGAAGAAAGGGTCTTTATTACTCGGCTCTTCCTCGGCATCTTTCTTCCCCAAACTGATCTCTAGAGGATCTAATGGTCCAATCTTTATGCGGATCTGTTCGAAGACGAAAGCTAGTATCCGGTTCTTCCAAGAAAACCTTCCTTCGAATGTTAATGCTCCTAATGGACCAAGATACACCCCATTCTCTATTCTTTTTCCCTGATTCAAGAATCAATCATAAGAAGTGTTTTGTTACTTCCAAAATCTCGGCTTTCAGGACCCTAAAGCAGCTCTAATTCGTAGCCTAGACAACCTCGCGAACGATGCCAAATTGAAAACAAGAAGACAAGCATACATGATCACATATGTAAGTGGATATAGATAAGTGGATCAATCAATCTGTTTCTCATTCAGTGCTAGAACCAGTTTAGAGACTTACCGCAGCATCAAATCTCTGAACAGCGGTTAGAGGGAAATAACGACCTTTGTTCAGTTTCTTCTGCATGTATGGTATATAAGATCTCAAGTCAATGATTTGAATGGATCAAGACTACAACATTTTAAAAAACTTGAAGGCTAATTTTATTTTTAACGGACCTCGGCGGTGAAGATGAGCATCCATGTTCGTCCAGGAGACTCGGTACCACCAAGGGTTTCAAGGAATGTGGATGGATCAATCTTAGCCTTTTCAATAGCAGAAAAAGCAGCTAAAATCTCATCTGCTGCAACTTTCCGAGTTTTTGCAGCGGTTTTTAACAGATTCACACTCTCCGTTACTTCCTACATATTCCAAAATCAGTTCACACTCAAGTAAAAACTAGTTGCCTCGAGATATTCAGAATCATAAGAAAGAACCCATAAAAGAGTCTTGCATTTGATAAAAGTAACTCTCTTAGTATTCATGTAATTTTAATTCTAAAATTTCACAACTCTTATAACCACCTTGGTTCCATGAAATCTATCTCCTAAAAGTGAACTCATAACATTTATCCCAAATTATTAATTTGACCAGAAAATAATTTGGATACTCCGCAGCTGGTTCCAAAAAATGAGATCAACAAGAATTTCTCTTCAGAAAACCCAGTTCGTTATAAAATGACTGTTCATCAGGTTTACAATATCTTTCAAAAACAATCGAAATGAAGAAGGTGCTGCTTACTTTGTTAGGGATTTGATCTTTTGCCGGTGGGACAATCCGGTTCCTGCCATCGACCGTGGCTTTCACCAAATGTAATCTCTCGCGACGACTAAGGAAGAGAGAAGAAGATGGGGACGAAACCCATGAAGCTAGTGAGACCATCATCGTCTCTGAGAAGCTTTTCACTTTTTTCCCCACTTCATCGTTCTACTTTTTTTTCTTCCACGTCACTTTTTCAGACATACCAAAAACAAAAACACACTAGAGCTGGTCGTTTTATTGTTATCCACAAGTTTTATTTGGTTGAGAAAAGCTTTCAATTATATTATTTGTGTCATTATCTCAATATCGCCGGACCGAATCCTAAAGCTACTCAATTTTAGGAAACGTTTGCCTGATTACAGTTTTATTGCCCGTCTCTTATAAACAAAACTCAATCCATTTCGAGTTAAATTAATGAACTTGTATGCACAGTGAATTGACCTGACCAAACCACGAAATAACATGAGAAACAAAGACAGAATGTGCTAGAAACCGCTACTTGTCTGACAAAGTATTAAGGAACGAATAATGTGTGTTCCTCAACTATGAAATAGCAATCTCCAAATAGCCGAAAAACAGATTCAGTCATCCAAAAGGGAGGTAGTCGTATTAATTGTAAATTTAACTTGAAAGAAAAGAAAACTCTCACTCAAGTTCATCATAATTCTCTCTCTAGCTTTAAAATATAAAGAAAACCGGTCTCAGGTTACACCTCTCCGCAGCTTGTAAATCTCAAACCTCAACTGTGCACTGAAAAAAAAGGGTATTAGAACTAGGGTTTTAGGGAACTCAGATTTCTTAGTCCGAATCATCATTCATGAAGCGTTTTCCTAATAATCTCCCTCTTGGTGCAACCCGAAAGCCGTCTCCTGCTTTTCAAAGAAACATAACCCAGGTTTAGATTAGCCATTTTCTAAAGATAATTCTTCCATATGGTGGTTTCAAATAAATGAAATCATAAGACTCCTCACCTTTTCTCTCGCAAAATTTGGATCAAGCGCTTGAGGCAGCACTTATGAGCTCAGTAACCTTTCCAACCGCAATTGTTTTTCCTGTTTTGTATAACCATGCACATAAATTAGGATGAGTAAAAATAAATGCATTATACATTGCATTTGATAATCTCTGAAATCTTTACCTTCCGTTCGTAGAGTGAATCTTCCAAGTTGAGGGAAATCCGAGAATTTTTCAATACAAATTGAATTCGTAACCTGCAGAGATACAGCAAGGGGTGAGAATTAGAAAGACTTGACAATAATTTGCAAAATATATTCAATTTGAATCCTGTTTGATCGTTTCCAGTAAATAACCAAGATTAGTACTGAGTACCCCCAAACCTTAAATAGCTAACTATCCCCATCAACCACCAGAACACGACCAATAAACTTTAATCAGACTCTTTCAAAGGAAACAGGTACAACTTCCCACAATTACATCCCAGGGACCATACCAAAGGATTGTACCAAGTTCCAAAGGAGATAACATTTCAGCTTTTGTTTTGATTGAGATTGAAACTTCAACTTATGGCTATGCATATAAGTATAAGAGAAAGAAAACGGTAGTTAGAAGGAGACAGACCTGGATGCGGCACACAACAGCAGCACCATTCTTCACAAACAAAACTTTCTTTTTCATTGGTTTCCTTGTTTTGAGATCAATTTGGCTTTTCAATTCAATAATCTCACACTCCTCGACAACCGCATGGATGTGGAGAATTGCCTTGTAACCAGCTGTAAAAATAGCCTACAGGAGCAGCAAAATAATGGAGACTATTTAAAAAATGTATATACTCATACAAAAACATTCTAGAATGTGTGCCTTACGTTGTCAAGAAGCTCAAGGATTTGTAGTTGGGCAACAAACTCAGTAACAACAGGGACAGGGTTAACTGCAACAGAAAACAAAGAAAAACTCCAAATTAGTACAGCTAAGAGAAGACTTAAGATTTCAGATATTAACAAAGTTATACGAAATAAAAACAAAATTTGGCAATGCAAATCATTTCTAGTGAAGGCAATCTGTAAAGCATCATACTCACCAATACTGGATAAAACAAAACCAGCAAGGATGTCCTCATCTTCAATGCCAGTAATACGAACTCTCAAATTCTCACCCGGTCCTGCACGCTTAACTTTATCCTCATCGCAATATATAGCAACAACTTTCACATGTTCCTACAATGATTCATGAAAGTCATCAGGAAAACAATAAACTGGTAAGGAAATATGAAATGAGAAAAAGACATGAAAGCACCTTGTTCGGCATAACAACCAAGGAATCACCCTCCCTAATGCTGCCAGATTCTACTTTTCCCATAACAACAGTTCCCATGTCCTTGAACTTATCGATAATAGGCATCCTACAGTTCATAAAATCAATTCGGGTTAACACAGTATACAACATACAAAGATAAGTTTACAGACTATAAATTCCCCTTTATATAAGAGACTGGGGGGAAAAAACTACAGAAGACATTTCCTCTTAAGGGGGATAAAGACATGCCAAAGTTGGGGAAGTTGCATGTGATGCAGAAAACAATGCATAGAGATGTTATTATCCATTTAAAACATCAATATACACAAGTAATGGATTTCCTGAATGCATCGACCAATAATTAATAACGAAGAACAAACGGTATAAAAAGAGAAAAAAGAGAAGGGACAGTGGTGGTTCACCTGAATGGACCATTAGGATCCCGTGGCGGAATTTCAATAGAATCAAGGACTTCAAAAAAGCTAGGGCCACTCCACCAAGGACAAACATTTTGACCCATCCTCTGGTCCATATTTTTGCCCATTAGACCAGATATAGGCAAGAAGACAACATCTTAACAGCAAAAGAGTAAGAGAACAAATTAAATATGCTGTTAGACCATAGTTAATCTGTAAGGTTTACAGTTCAGTGCATACCTTTCTTTGTGTTGTAGCCAGAGGCCTTCAAAAACGGTACCATTTTTTGTTCAATTTCATCGTACCTGTGCATAGGATTTACATAAGTACAAGGATGTACGGAAGAAGATACGAAAATCATCATTAACAAGAAATTAAAAGGTAAATGTAAATTACCTTTCTTTCGACCAGTTCACAGTTGGGTCATCCATCTTGTTCACAACAACAATCAGCTTCGAAACACCCAATGTTTTGGCAAGTTGAACATGTTCACGTGTCTGCCCACCCCTCTCATATCCCGTTTCAAATTCACCTTTTCGAGCTGAAATCACCTATATCAGAGAGAGATGGGTAGGGAAGTTAATAGGCTTCCTACAGGAGAAGCTAAATCAACAGAAAAAAAAATAACTTATAAGCTAACTAACCAGCACACCGATGTCAGCTTGAGATGCTCCACTAATCATATTGGGTACGTAACTCTTGTGCCCCTGTAATAAGTTCAGAAAAGCACACGAGAATTAGAACAGAAAACTCATCCAACATATATGCTGGAACACAAATTACCCGCATAAAACAAAAATAAATGGAAAACAATTATTTTAGATTGATCCCTTACCGGAGCATCCAAAATGGTGAATCTAGTGCTCTGAGTTTCAAAGTGTGCCCTTCCAACTTCAACTGTTTTACCCTGTTAAATGTAGCAAATTAGCCATAGCACTTAGCTAACATATATTCAACAATAAACTTGATGGGATTTCCATAAACACATTAACTCTATCATCTAAGACAAGCATTTTAAGCAAAAAAACAAGCATTGACCAAAACACATGAAGTACCTTGAGCCTCTCTTCTTCATTTGTATCCATTATATATGCCATATACCTAGCATACAGGGCAATAAAAGTTTCAAAATTAATTAGAACGCAAAGCATTCCTTTTCAGGTTTAAGCAATCAGGAACACTCACCAGCTTTCTCTACTTTTATCTTTTGCTTCCTTCTCATACTTTTGGATTTGTCGTTCATCCACCTGACCGCTAAGATAAAGAATCTGTCCTCCAATTGTGGATTTACCAGCATCTGTAATTGAAAAAAGAGTGTGTAAATTAAAGACAGATGTCAGCCATTATAAACATAAAAGTACACAGACAGAAAGGTCATGACCAGTGGGGGTTTCAAAGCTGTATTACATAAGCTCTGAAACCCTGTGTCTACACAAGGAAATTATCCTGCAACCTCCAGCTTTAACAAAAACATGCCCATAAAAAAAATATAAATCATCAAGTAGATAGTCATACCAACATGCCCAATGAACACCACATTCAAGTGTCTCTTTTTATTTGCTTCTGCTTCATCTTCAGCTTCCTCTTTGGCAGCCTTGTCTTGAGCAGCTTTCTCTTTAGCTAAGATTGATTACATTTATCAGAATAATATATAAATCATCAGGCAGACAACAGGATACCAGAGAGATGAGACGGGAGCAGACCGAGACGATAGTCTACGAACCTTTCGCTGGGTTATGGACTGGATGAAGCATTACTTCATCATGATCCTCAGAAGCTGAAACCACCAAAGTCCAAAAAAAAAAAACAATGTTATGACAAAGTTAGATAAAGCAAACTAATTTGAAGTGAAATAAAAAGAAAAGGACACTGATGCCAGGAACCTTGTTGCTCATCAGGAACCGGGACAGATTCTTGCACTTCATCTTTCAAGTCTGTAAGTAAAGATAAAATACCTGGTTATACTCTATGTCAACCACTCATCAAAAGATTTAGTATTCAATCTCATCACAGTATAATATATAGACAAATGAATTTGGTTTTGTGTATGGAATGTAATAGCCGAGTAACATGGTAGGTACCTTCTTCTGGTGCTTTATCCAAATTCTCAACTTCATCTGAGTTATGATCTTCTGGAATGACAACACCATTGTTTTCATCTGCATATATTAACACAAAATTTGGTACCATAGAAATAAGAAGTAAGCAAAAATAGTGTTAAAGCTAGTTGTCTCAATTACCTGCCGAATCAAGCTGTAATGCGCGTATCTCAGCCTCAAGATCTGCACGGTTTAACAATGTATAAAAAAAAAAAAGAGTTATCATCTCCAACAAAAACGTACAGAAATGTAGCAAAGAATTCCACAAAATACCCAATCCTTCACTATCTGAGAGTTAAATTCACACGAATTACAAAGAGAAGTACCTAGGTCAGTTCTACACAAGCCAATTAAAACCAACCAATCAGCTAAACCCTAATCCAATTTCTAATCCAAAAGCCGATAATCCTCCTTCCGATTAAATATTAACTACCGGAGAAACGAATCCATCAGCTTCATAATCGAAGTTAACACAGTATAACGCAAACATACAACAAAAATAGAAAAAAAGATCCGATCGACCAACAAAAGCAGTAAGCGCATAATCGAGAAATCGAGAGAGAAAGAAGACATATAGAGCGATGACTAGAGAGAGAGAGCTCGA